CTGTCAACGCTCTCTGGTTTCATTTAAAGGAGTCAATCGTCAGATATTGTCCAGAATTAACCTGCAGGGTGGATATAGCTCACTAGCAGCCTTGCAACGATGACCTAGTTGATGTCATCATTTACCCAGAATGCTTTGTGTGTAAATAAAATGGCCCCGTCCGTGTAATACATTTTTAAATATTTAGTTTAAAAATTATAAAAACTAAACAGCCTGCAGTATTTTTACAGTCTTTATTTTACAGTTAAAATACATGTTTATCAAATAAAGTCTTATATTACAACTAATCATGGATCCCTTTATATCACGCAGCCTGATTGTGGAGCTAAAGCACTCCTGTACTCACGTGATGACAGCGTTGGGATTTTTCTCTACAGCGTAGATTTTCAGCTTCCTGTCTGCCTGTCTGGCAGCACGCAGGGATGCGTTGACGAGCGGACCCCTACCTGCCCCCAACACCATCAACACCCTGCACCAGGACAGACGTCAGGTTAGATAAAACTGCTACTTTTATGAATAAATGATGCGTCTCTATGTCTCCTCAGAGGTTTAATGTGCAGAAATAATAAAGTGGAAARAAAGATGGACTCTTCAGAATAAATCATTATTCAGATCAATTTAACTCTTAGTTGTGAACCCATACAGACTTTCAACTTACTGAACATTKGTCTCTTTCTGCTCCTCTGGTACTCGGTCCAGTAGGCATTTAAATACAGCCTGTACACACAAAGACAGAACACACAAACCTATGAGCATTCCAGCACTGAACTACAGCTGTGACTATCAGTCCCTGCAATTACAGACTGGACACTAAGTTCTGGATGAGAAATAATCATCTGGATCCTGTTTACTATCAAAACAACACACCCTCCATCTCAAAATTCAACAAAGTCATTTCAGTACAGTAATGACTGTCACAGGGAGTGGTTAAAGAAAGGTTGGAGAAARTGAGCCTATGAATAGGAGGTTGCAGGTTCAAATCYCCCTGACTGGCAGAAAGAAAATTAGGTGGGGAAGATGAAGCACCCACATCAATTTCCCCTCTGTTGAGGGACTACTAACCCCCACAGCTGCTCCCTGTTCCCTCTGCTCCATGTGTGCTCACATGTGCGACGGGACAAATGCAGGGAACTAATTTGCCCATTGGGTATTCAAAGAGTATATTACAACAACAACAAAACTGTAAATTTAGACATACAAAAGCAGCTTGAGAAGTTTGAAGTTGAAAAAAAAAATCACAAATACATTTAAAACAACTAATGGTGCGTTCACACCAAACGCGATTTCAGCATCAGGAGCAGCAGGTTTACATGCAAAGTCTATGGTGGAGGCGCTTCAAGCAACGTCGGGAAGTTCTGCGGCGCCTCAAGCGCGATTAGAGCAGCGCGATTTGGACGATTTGGACGATCTGAGCGTYSRACGCTCAGATCGTCCAAATCGTCCAAATCGCTGAAGTTAGAAAATCTGAACTTTTGCAGCTCGACGCGCAGCGTCAACCAATCAGAGAGACTCCACTGTGTGACGTAGCGACATATTTCCCGACGGGACAGTTTACTGAATGAGGTCCACTAACCTGAAACAGACAGAGCTCCTGCTCTTTAGCTAAAATGAGTGCTGCAGTCGTGTCCTGATCCGCAGCAATGCGTGACAGCGACTCATCAGACTGAAAAAAATAGTCCTGAAAGCAGCTGTGAGCCTCTTCTCTGAATTATCTGGTGAATTAATTATGAATTAATTATCTGATGAACGTGACACGTTCTGGCTGTCTGTAAATTAAAGCAAAGCCACTTCCTCGTCCGACATTAAACGGAGCCCGACAGAGGAGGGAGGGGCGGGGCGGCTGTCGCCGTGCGGCGCTTCAACAACTGTCCTGCGTCTGACCTCAAAGTGCACAAGCTTCAGACTTCAGCGTTGGCTGCGATTTTGAAGCTGAAATCGCGTTCGGTGTGAACGCACCATAAGTGCTTTCATAAGAAACATGGCAGAGTAGGTAACAGTGTAGGTGAAGAGTTTTGGTGACAATTTCAGGAAATTGACAGCAACCAGGTTAACACTGGCTGTGGTTAAAATACGACATTTTATAATCGCTTCCTAAAACTAAAATATACTTTTAACACAGTCACACGTGAAGCAAAGACAATAAGCATATGATGGGGAAAAAAAAAAAGAAACATCACAGTCTGAATCTGACCAAGGGAACATAAACTGACAATCTGCAGCACTTAAACTACAGCTGTGCAAAAATATAAACAAAAGTGTGTACCTTAATCTGAGTGTCTGTTTTACTTTAATAAATTATTCAATGAAAAGCTTGGAAAGTTAAAAAAAAATAAAGTCCAACAAAAATAAATCTATTTTTCACATCCTGTTCATATTAAGTTGGATGAATCCTGATTTGTATGATTTAAAAAACAGGTTAAAAAATGTGAACACTACACATTCACAAAGAAAGGTCCAGTATATCTTATTCTAGAGGTAATAAAGGATTCACCAAGGCTCATGTTCCTACCACTTTAGGGAAATACAGCAGCTGCCTAAATATCACCATGTTAAGAACAATCCCAGATTAACCGTCTTTCAGAAGGAAATTTTAGATTAGCGTAGAAAAATGTGAAAATCTAAACTATTTGTTCATCTTCTGGACAACAAATTACATTATTTTTCTGTGACAGAATTGTGCACTGTAGCTTCGAAACCATTCTGAATTGTTTTTATTTTTGCCATTTAATTTGCAGTTAAAAGTCTCACCTGTTGGTACTGAGAGTATTTGATAGGATCCTTCTCGAACACTTCATACGTCTGAGACTCCAGGTTGTCCATGAGGGGCTAAAATCATGACAAAGAAATTGATAAATTTGTGAACCACTTATCAAAAACTCAAAATGAAGCCGAACCAAGGCATTATATATTTATATTTTTTTTACCTGTAGAGGTGACTGCAGGTAATCTTCATAGCCTTTGGCAAAGAGCTCGTAGGCGTTGGGTGCCGGCCTGTTCTGATTGAGGTATTCCAGGTATTGCAGGTAGGATCTAAAGTCCTTGTCAGTGTGTCGACTGGTGCCTGTGAAGATAAACTGGGCTTCCAGCTGAGAAGACAATTTTGTTTTTTTGTTGAACACACACTTTGGAATGAAGTTGCTGATATTCTGTTAAATGAAACTAGCAGTTAACGTGTCATACCTTGAAGAGACGGAAGATGATCCTCTGATGGGCTTTTGACAGGACAGGGAAGCCTTTCTTATTCGTTAGAAAGATGCTTGTGGGAAGTACTGCTGCTTTGATCGGTTCTCCGAGCCATTTATCAATAACAGCGTCTGATGGCATGTCTGCTCCAACTTCAATAGCTTCGGGAACACAAAAGAGAAGCACATTCTCTGTAAAAATGAACCGTCATTACTGCTGACTGTGAAAATCGTGCCTGTTTGTTGCTTTCTCACCGAGACAGATCCTCTTGTTGTAATCACAAAGGGTTCGGAAAGAATGCCACCTGGAAAAACAAAACAAAAACAGTAGACCAAATATGCCGTAAATTCATTAGAAAACATTTAAAAGTTGCAGACAGCAACCAGCTGTGCAGGAAGTGAGAGTGGCGTGAAACTAACCAACTCCAAGTTTTTTCGTCTACGCTTGTTTCATCAATGCAAGGTGCCGGTTCATTTTCAATCAGATCTTCCCTAACGTCTTCAGACGCCATCAGTGGGACACGTATCCAGAACTAAAGAGAACACAAAACAACGACCTCAGCTATTTAGCTATGGCGTGGAAAAGTCATTTGTTTGCTGGCTGAATCGGTTTGCCTTACATTAGAGGTGTGGTGCCCAGTGTGGATGTGGTTGAGCAGCATTCGGGCTAGATTGGCATTATGAGGCCCCTTCAGAGGGACCATGAAGACGGGAAGACCCAGGTAAGCTGAGAAGTTTAGCTCTTGTGCAAGAGCCTGTGGAGAAACAATAAATTAAGCAAACATTTACTTAAGTCCCAAGAGCCAAAGATTTCACCAGCATCTGAACAGTAGTAAAGACAGAGTACATAAAAAAACAGTCTATAAAGAAACTTACAGCCTCTGAGTTTCTGCGTTCTGTTTCCATTTCTGAATCTGTATCGATCCATGGAGACAGCTTCCCAACAATGAGGGTGTTCCAGTCTAGATGAAACATGAGCAAAAAATTAATTATTTAATATTTGAATTTCTTTGGTTAAAGAAGAAACAGTCAGGATTATACAAACAGTATTGTTTTAATATACCAGAGAAACAAAATGCAAAACTAATCCTTATGTATATATTTTAAGCTGTGACTGGTCTGGGTGATATGGAAAAAAAAAAAAAAAGATCACGATTATTTTTTTTCATATTGACCAATCGATTATTTCGATTTATAATCACAATTATTTTGTTAACCTAAAAAGTGAAGAATAATTTAACAAATAGCTACATAAATGAAAAAATATATATATATGTATAGCAGCTGTTATTTCACTTTCACTAAATTTATTAATAAATAGCTGTGGAACATTAAATTCTTTTTGCAAGTTGTTTAAAATTATTTACAAAAAAACATTTATGTGCAAACGTAGAATTACATTAAAGTTATCCTTTTGTAAAATATAAGTTTTACAATTGAATTAAAGCTCATAATCCGTCCTAAACGTTGTGCTAAGCTTCATAATTTTGGAGGACATTTCTGTTTTAAAGAGGAACTAACCCCAAAATCAACTTTTTTTTGCAGATAAACTGTCTAAACTGTGCCCTAAGGGTAATACCTTTCTATTTATGATTAAATTCAACATTTTGGTCTAAAATTGTTTAAATATACAATATTGGGTCTAAAACACCTCTGTGCTGCTCCCTTTGAGTTTAACTACGGCTACTACATTTGAATTTCTTTATTAATTCAAAGAGACCGTATGATGCTGCTGGTACTGTACTTACTTCTCTGCTACGGTCTACAATTAATACTTCATGCATTTTTATAATCTAATTTACTTAACTGACTGTGTGTACCTGTTTTAATCTGAATGATGTGCTTTTAATACTTGTTACTAGCTTTGCATACTTTGTATCTTTTTCAATATACACTTTTACCACTCTTTTATCCATTTAGTGAGAAATATGTTTATATATTGAATCCTTTTTTATGTCCTCATTTAGTCCATGATGTGTTTTAAATTGCTCAGCACTTAGTTCCACGTTTGTTTGGAAAGTGATATATAAATGAAGTTGRGTTAAAAACAATACAAAAGATGCTACACATTGACAGGTGACACACTAACCTCTTCCACAAAGCAGCAGGTCTGAACGGGTCTGGGCTCCGGGTCTGGACTTAGCTGGCTCCAACTCGAACTCCCTCTTGAATCTCGGGTGGAACAGGGGCATGCACAGGAAGTCAAACCTGCACGAGGAAAAAAAAAAACATTTATTCATATAGAATATTTTAGAGCAAAACATATACATGTTTTCGCAAATATTATTCAAAACAACGAGTGAAATACTAAACCAAACTACCTATACATAGATATACACTTCAGACCTGTACCAAGCATCATTGTGATGGGGCACGTGCTGCAAACTCGCCGGCTAGCTTAGCAAGCATCACTCCGACATACAAACAAACAAGCGCGGAACTCTTGTAATCTCGTTTTATCGAGCAAAAGCAAACACAAACAAGACCCATGGCTTTTCTCACCCTAGTTTGGCGACCGCAGCCAACGTGTCAGCTATCTCCGGTACACAATTCAAATCTCTACCGCAGGACACCCTGCCTCCCGAACTGGCGGACGCCATGACTTCTTCCACTGAATTATGTGGTGGGCCTGTCCTCTCGTCTTTCGTGGAAACTGACGCCATCTTGGATCTAATCGAACATCGAACAACAACTGCGAAGTGAGGGATATGGAGCCAAAATGGCGTCGCTCGTAGGTCAGTTTTCATTCTCGCAAATTATCGCGATAACAATTCATGGCTAGTTTTTCCAGTGCTGGAATGACTTCGTTTTTCTATGAATGAATGAATGAATGAATGAATGAATGAATGAATGAATGAATGAATGAATGAATGAAATTCACATTCAAAATTAGAAAATGTATCAGTCCCTTCATTCCATCATTGTTAATATAACAGAGACTCAACAGCTAGCAACAAAATGAAAGACATGTAAAACTTCCAACTAGCAAGATGACGCCGGCAAAAATTGTAATGCTTGCAGAAAGAGGCTTTACAGCATATCTAATTCACAGCATTCAGGATAAAATATCACTTACCTGAACCTGGCTTTGTTTGTGCATGTGTCTGTGTTTGTGCAAGCTGTCATCTGTTAGGACTATAAAAGGTAAGAGCACAAAGTTCCAGGTTTTACAAAGCTGCCTGAGAGGAAGAGATGTTTATGACTTTGATTGCTGTCCTTATTGATGAATCCTGCTACTTTTTTCATGCTTTTTAACATAAAAAATACTGATTTTGTAATAATCTTTTATCTCCATCTGTACCAGCGCCACTATGGCTTTGGAAGATGTTTGTGGCTTCAATGAAAAGGCTTTTTCATCTTTGGAGGATACAACATCTGTTCATGTAACTGACAGTTACAGCCTCAAATGGAAACGACAGGAGATGCCCTATCATTTCTTCGTGCCACCTTTACCACGGCTTAACTTTTCCATCACATCTCCTGGCAGCTCAAGAAAACATTTAGTGACCGTGCGCAGGCCCTTTCCTTTGGCACATGGAACTACTACCCTGGGTTTCATCTTCCAAGGTGGAGTAATTGCAGCAGCAGATACTCGCGCCAGTGCTGGAGGACTCGTTGCCTGTCCAGCTGTGCATAAGATTACCCCAGTTCACTCCCATTTRGTGGTCACCTCCTCCGGCAGTGGTGCAGACTGCCAGCTGTGGGAGCGCGCTCTGATTAGAGAGATCCGACTTTACCAACTGCGGCACAGGCGTCGCCTCTCAATACGTGGCACTGCCAAACTTCTGTCTTTAATGCTCCATCCYTTCAAAGGCACTGAGGTGTGCGCAGCTCTCACCCTGTGCGGCTGGGATGTGGAAGAGGGTGGCCGTGACTATGCCAAGAACTTGGAAGACMCATCTTGTATGACAGATAGCTCTTCAGGTGTCATTAGTTCAGCAACCCATTCACTGTCCCCTAACTGTGGCCCCCAAGTCATCTATGTGTGCAGCGATGGAGCCCGACTCCAGGGCGAAGTCATCTCTGTGGGTTCTGGGTCTCCTTATGCCTACAGTGTTCTGGATGGGAGTCTGAGTTGGGACTTGAGTAAGAAAGACGCCATTTCTTTGGCAAGAGAAGCAGTGTTCAGAGCCACTCACAGAGACGCCTACTCAGGAAACAACGTCGACCTTTTCCTCATTACAGCTCAGGGATGGAGCCAAAGACAGAGAGAGGACCTGAAAGAGGAATATTATAGAGATATGGAGAGAAAAGTCAAAAATCAAGAAAAGAAAAGCGTGACAACAGAAGTTATGAAATGAAAATATTGTGTGAGGAAATTTTTGTTGAACTCTCTCTCTCTTTTGCTTCTTTTTATTATTATTATTATTATTATTAT